GGGCCGGAGGGGGCTCTGCGCCTCCGAGCTCCGCGCTCCGCCCGCGCTCCACCTGCGCGCCCTTAGTGCCGTCCAGCGCACGCAGCGGCGCATCCTCCCTCTCCTACTCCGCCAGCGGCACTGCGTGGAGGAGAAAGGCGTGCGAGGTCGAGCCAGAGTTTTAGCCAATATTTACTCTCAAATCCACGACTGTTTTGCCTTCTTTTTTTTTGTCAGCTGGTAATCATTCGAAATATTAAATGCAGCGATTTTTTTTGGCGAGTTTCAACAAGTTTTGGCGAGTGCTTGGGAGCTGAGCGCTCATAACTCCCCCAGCTTCTTCATCCTACCCAATAAAGCACAGCTCCTGCAAATCTCTCGCTAACGGGGCAATGTCTGCTGCTCTAGTTTGATAAACGTGAGAGCATGAATGGAAGTTGACTAGTAAAAATGAATTCCTAAGGGTTTCCTCCAGTTCTTTTTATTTCGGCAGTAATTTTCATCACAGCGGTGAAAATATTGAAGACATCAAATTATTTGTGATAGAGTATGCCTATGATTCCCTGATGAAGTTTCATAATTAATATCATCAATTATTTGTGTTAGTATAAATTTTATTTCCCAGCCCTGGAGTCCCAATAATAATAACAGCAATAATAATAATAATCTCATTAGAAGAAACTGATGTCAGATTGCTGTCCAGCTCTCACTATTGCGAAATACCTGAGAATTTCAAAGGCATCTGCAAAAATTCGGAATCGGACGTTATATCAAAACTCAGATCTCCATTCAGGGTTACTCCTGCCCCTCAAAGAAAGATGTGCAAAGTTCTGCCTGCAGCAGTGGAAGTACTCTGTCTTGCAGAGTGCAAAGAGCAAGCTGAAAATTATAGGCAGGGAGAAGTGCCAGAGTGGTACTATACTAATCCTTGCTGAGACAACAACTTGCGTTGGAGGCTCGCAGAGAGTCCGAAATTTAATTTCAGAAGGGAAGGGTCTGTGAACAATATAGTCCAGTTGGTAAAAACCCGCCATACAATAGCCTGCCAGAAGGTGAATGTCAGATCAAAGGAGAATTGAAAAGATGTCCTTTCATATTTTTTTTTCCTAAATCAGCCATGGAAACTTCATGACTCCATAAAACATGTGCTGGTTTGCTGGGGAGACAGCCTCCAGTTTTCTCTCGGAGAAAGCTTGTCTTCCCCCACCCTCGCTGCCTCGCTGTTTAACTCTTGGTTTCTCTTTTTTTTTTTTTTCCTCCTTTTTGATTCCATGATGCTCGAGTCATATGGCACCGTACTCATTTCATATCTCATACAAATGGTTTTGCTCTTAACGTTCCACCCTCTTTCCAAACAGGAACAAAGTCAGGAAATGAGGCACAAGACTCCCCTTGTAATGAGGAAAAGAAAACGACTTCACAGAAACGTCCTGGAAAAGTCAAGTAAGTTAAAATATGTCTTTTTTCAGTTCAAAGGAAACACTATTTTTTTCAGCTTAGTGTTTAACGTACTTGCATAAACACAGATCAGCGACACAACGCCCCACCAGCAGCTGCTTAATCCTGCTCAATGCCTATTCATTTGGAGGTTCTAGAATTAATATTTGACGACTCTCTCATTGAAACAACAACCCCTGACCCCATGTGATTGCACTGTCACATTATTCTATGACATATTCATCTTGAATTCATTTACGGACGATTTGATTGGAATGAGGTTTGACATGTATTGGATCCTATTAAAGAAGAAGACTTTGATCTTGTTGATGGGGTTTACATGATATGTATCATCTTTACCAGGGATACCAGGCTTCCACAATGTGGTGTCTAAGTAGTTAGTGACTGACAGCTTATCTGACAGGAATACCTTAATCTTGAGGTATTGAATGAAATATTCTATTTAAAATAAGCATATGATTTGCTTGTCCTAGGGTATCTCTAGGTCATAAAAAGTGAGCGACAAACCTAGGCATAAGCTTCTGCCCGTTTGGTAGCTGAATTCCCATTATTCAGGAAACTTGAAATAAAGAAGTCCTGGTAAGTGGGAACGGGAGAGGAAATAGAAACAAAGGGAGAGTGTGTTCTCGAGCCATTCAGTGTCTTCTTGCCTCTTCTCTGAGGAGATGTTGAGGTTACGGAGAGACTTTCTTGAACTACCTCTTGCTAAACAGCAGTGCCTTCTGCCAGGACAGCTAGAGGCTCAGGTCCTGCCCCCTGCCCTTGTGTCAGCCGCTAGCCTCGCTGATTCCTCCCTGCCAAATGCGAGTTTGATGGCTAAAGAGGATGCACAGGATGACTTCTCGGTCCTCTCTATTTCTGTTCCTCACCTTTCTTTTCTCCCAGTAAATATTAGGATTTTCAGGTTAATCCCTTCCCCTCCTCTCTTCCGGGAGTTGAAGCCTAAAAGTTAACCCGTGGAGCCTGTTATCTCGGCGTTTCAGGACATTCCCTCCCAGCTCAGGGCAACTACTGGGAAGTTCCTAGCTGGCCCATCAAGGAAGGGAATTCTCCGAAGAAAGTGAGGTGGGAGAGCACAGGAGTGAAAGGCAGATTTTGCTCTCTCAGAGGATCCGCGGGCAGGATCTTTTCCTTGCACGGAGCACGACTCTAAGGAAGAGCAGGATTTGGTCCCAAGTGAAAGAGCACAACATGAGCAGCCCCTGGTTTCCTGGGGAAAGCTGCTTCGCAGATCAACTTCACAGCAACCGCTGTCTCCGGCAAAGGTAGATGTATGGAGAAGCACCTTGCTGTGTGGATAAATTTATACCAAAAAAAGGCAAAATACGGTGGATCTATAGTACTATTCCCTGCACAGAACAAGTGGGACTGTGCCGGTCCCAGCGTTTACTGCAAAAAAGCGTGCGGTTCATTTTCGAGCTCGCAGGCCAGGGGCTGGGTGGGCAGAGCCGGGGCCGAGGCTTGGGCTGCCCGCGGGGGTCACACGCCTGGCGGAGCCTCGCACCCTCGGGGGGCGGGCAGCGTCTGCTCCGGGTTGGCTCTGCTCTTCTTTCTGCCGAGAGCGCTCCCGGTCTCTGCTCTGGGGCAGGGTTTGCTCACTGCCCGGCTTCCTTTATTTCGGCCCCGGAAGGAGGGCCGGGAAGAAAGGGTGGTCGTGACTCGGCTTTGTCTGAGAGAAGAATCTGGGTGTACCTTCCCACAACATGTCATGTCTCTAGAGCAGGCAGTTTTGGGGGCCAGGGGCTGCAGAAACTGAGACCCGGGAGATTTACATGCAACACCAAGCTGCCTTCCTCTTAATGCTGATTCATCCTTCTGCGGATCTGGCGCCCAAGAGGACACCGTGATCTCTCTCAACTTCTCTTCCCTTAAAACAAGATAGCACTATCTCAGCAGTGGTTCTGCCCTAACATCTGGGTTTCAGCTTCAGGTCAGGATATTTCTGCTTCATTGCTTGTGCAGTCCTGCCTTCTCCCTGGAAAGGCTTCGGTTCATCCTTGAGTCTAGAGGGGAAGCCAGACAGGTTAGAAAGGAAAAAAAAATTGGCCCTGCATAACCTGGTGTTGACACATTTGAGAATTTGCCCAAGAGCCAGGCTTATCTGGTCAAATATGGCTCATATTCCTGCCAAGATGCAGGAGACCTCGGTCACCCCTCGAGTGTCAGGCATACGAGTTCAAGCTGCCAACGGGCTGCAAAAACAGGCGTGCAAGTTTTCAAACCGTTCTGCCAGATATGCTGAACTTCGCTTATTTTGGCCCTGTTCTCCTCCTCTTTCTCCTTTCTCCGCCTTCCCGCGGTCATGTGCGCGGCCCCCGCCCGCCCCCTGCCCACTCCCCCGCGCGCGGAGGCATCCCCCGAGGAACGGAGCGCATGCAGGGAGCGCAAAGCCCAACTTCACCTAGCAGGGTGAGAGAGACACCGAGTGCCAGGTTCTCATTCGTTGCCTGAAAAAGAGAGCGAGAGAAAGCCCTAAGTGAGGGGCGAACAGAGAGCCATTACTGTCTCATGAGAAACCATCACAGTATTTTAAATTAGCTTAGGGCAAACCGGTTATAACATTTTTTTAATTGATAAACTGTTCCAGATGTTTTCTCCCTTGACTGAGAAGTGTCAGAATTGATGGATAACAAGTATGTAGAGATGAAGTATTTTAAGGAGGTATGAGGAAAACAGCTTTATTTGGAATTCACACTCTCAGTACGTTTGTAAGTAACAGATTCATACTTCCTAACGTTTGTCTCTTCTGTGCACTCCTATTGAGATGGTCATGAATAGGACTGTCAAATCCATTTCCTAGAGCAAGTAGACTTGAAAGTTAAGATATTGTGAGGATGGTGTGTGGTTTAAAATGCCTGCGTAAACGTGTTATGTAAGGATGGAGAGCTAATTGCATCATTTGTCACTTTTCATCATCTCCACTCAGAAAGATATACACAAGAACGTATCTACAGCTAGCTACCTAAATATTAGTTTTCTGTTTCAGAAAATATGGTGAAAGCCAGCCAGAGCCAAAATATGTAACCGCAGCCAGCCCAGAGTATGCGAAGCTGAGATAAAAACGTTCCCTCTATGATTATATATGTCCAACACTTTAATCGTACCGTTTCAGATCATTGGCTAGTAGCCTCTGCTATGAGAATAACTGGGTTGAAAATGCCAAACATTTGCTTGTTTTACTACTTAACATAAAACTGATCGATGGCCGATACTGCTAAACTTTTACGGAAACGCAAAATTCCACGCTGAGAGCTTCACATGGCCCTGCCAAGGGCGTGTGCCGCTAACTCCCGATCCCGAGTGTGTGATAAAGCATCTACTGGCAAGTTAACAGTAAGTCCATGTATTAAAATGCAGAGTATCTGACACGATGGTTAGAGAATTAGTTGTTGCTTTATTTTGTATGACGGCAAGTTTATTGGTGGAGTCATTTTTTTCCAGAATCTGAGTTCTGTGGTAATCCTGTGGGCAGATATTTACAGTTGTATTTTTCTTTCTTAAAGCGGATGCCCTGTTTCTCCCATCTTTTCCCAAGTTTCCCGGTTTTTTTTGTTTTTATGTTCACAATCCTACCTCTTAAAAAGTAGATGCTTCCCTCTGTGCTGAAGCCCTAAGCTTTTTAAAACCTACAAGGCCTCAGTGCATAAAGCCTGAAGGCTTAACCTACACTTTTATCATTAGCAAGGTAAAACCTGCAGACCATGTTCTTTCCTTCAGGTGAGCAGCATCCAAATATGTGTAGTGTATGAATGTATTTAAATGCTTTTTCTTTAGCCAGGGAAGGGATATTACGTGGAACTATCCTGTAAGTGAGAGAGAGAGAGAGAGAGACGGAAAGGGAGAGACTCCCTCTTCTGGGTTAAACACTCAGATTCAGGCTAAACATCACGATTTCTCGTATTACTCCAGCAGCCAATAACCAGATAGCTGCTAAAACTTATCAAATGACGGCAATGGGAGTCTTCCAAAAATCCTTTGTGAGGGATCCTGCAAAAATACAACGGTCCGAGCACTAGGCCAAATGTGCTATGTGAGGTAGCAAGCTGGCAGTGCCGTTCAGCCACTCTTTTTGAAAAAGAGAAAGCCCAGCTATCTGCCCCGTCAACAAGTGTCAGAAAGCTACGCGCCTGCCCAGCCCCGCTCCCCCGGCGAGCTCGGCCGCGGAGCCGGCCTCC